GGTGATCAATCGATATATCGATTTCCATTTCAGTTTTTTGTACTAGACACTGCATGCGTTATTATATTTACGATAGAGTATTTGTTACGATTGTACGCCGCGCCGGATCGATGTCGATTTTTACGGTGAGCGATCATTGATTATTTTCATAGTGAAAGTATTGATTTCATTGATTTTTCAGGTCAATAATGAGTGTTATCGATGTGGTTGCGATTCTACCATATTACATAGGATTGGGTTTGCAGAACAATAAAGATGTCTCAGGAGCGTTCGTCACTTTACGAGTATTTGTAAGTTTTACTGGCAATTTATGCCGACTACATGACGAAGAATACGCCAAGATGCGTGCGTTCGATGCGCACGCGTCTTGGCGTATTCTTCGTCATGTAGTCGCACGCATGACGCACGCACGCATCTATATAAGTCTCTTTTATTTGCATCTGTTACAAGTTGATCTTCACATTACTAAGTACCTGGAGAATTTTTATGTGAAAATTAAAAAAAAGCCCAAATAAGTTTCATCGAAAATTATTAAGATTACCCGGAGCCACATTTATATCTGAGATTACCTAGGTTAAACGTGCCAACACTCTCAAACCCACCCATCTCTAACATGGGTGTCGACACTTACCCTGGGTAACCTCCATGATGCATCCAGGCCCGGAATAACCGCCGATTTTGTTATTTTTCAGCGAGTTTTCCGAATATTCAAATTTTCACGACACTCACAAGGTCTTCGGATACTTGGCTATACACTGAAGTCGTGCGCATCCGAACTCGGCTTCCTGGTGTTCTCATTAGCTATGGCTATCATCATCTTTGCCACAATTATGTACTATGCCGAGAAAAAAGTGAACGACACGAGGTATATTACTTAAAACTTTTTTCTTGGGAAAAAATGAAATCAACGTTGATATTCAGGTTCACCTCAATACCGGCAGCCTTCTGGTACACCATTGTTACGGTCGGTTTCGTTCGCACTCTTATATGAATTATTGCTTTAATTTCTTTTTTTATTCATTACTCTCGTTCATGTCCATCCCGAGTGTAGTCACAAGGAATGCTATCTACGTTCTCTGGGAAATACTTTATCTTCTTCCATTTTTCATATACCAGTTATGCTTACACTTCCTTCGCTTTTGAATTTTTTCTGTACCACGACTGCCGAGGCCATCAGAAAGACCCAGAGTTCCTCCCTCAAAACCATCTCAATGACATCTCAGCGAGGGGATTAGAAACGATTCCGTAGTTGAGCAGTTGGCGAATGCAAAACGTTCCAAAATTGAAGAACGAAAGAAGAAAATGTCCCGAAAAACTAAAGATTATAATTATAATAACAATTTCGTGAGTGAGGGCAAAAATTTTACCTGTGATGGAATCCATAGAAATTAGACGCATTACAGGATTGGCACTGCGTCAAAACGCCTTTTTATACTGTAATTTTTTCTATATAATATTCGCCAAACTCGATTTGTCTAGGATTACGTCTCTAAATTCAGCAAAAAGACCACTTGGTCCTTGTTTAATGGACCTCACATCCTTTTTGTGGCTCTTGAAGCCTGGCTCAATCCACGGTACTACATGTTTAGTTCGTTCGAGTTCGTTGAAATCATAATAGCAAGAGATCTAAAGCAATTCTTTTCTGGGTTTTACTTCATAGATCTCTCTCAAAACTGTGCTGCCAGAGAAATACGGACAGAAGATGGTTGTGGAGGGTTATACCTGGAAATATAAGCATGGACAGGCTCTGCGATTGGCCAATTAAGTGAACTAACCAATCGCGGAGCGTAGCCGTAGCGCTTTCCCCAACCCCGCGATGTTGTGCCAACTCACTTTTCTTGTCTTGTTTCGAAAATTGCTGTGTAATCTATGTAATTGAAGAGGAATAACTTAGTTTCTTCTTTCAATTCACCATCTGGTGTCTATTTTTACTAAGCTGTTTGCTTGCTGACAGGAATTTGTTCAAAGATTCGTTAAATGTGCTTGTTCAAGTCCTAACATCCATGCGCTTAGCTAACTCATAAGAGAACAGTACAAAATAGAATTGAAGCCTTTTCCCTTCTCAGTTTTTTTCTTTCAAACTCAAAATTTTTCCCATATAGGATTCACTTATTATTATTGAAGTGCATTTTGTAAACTAAATCTCTTGCACCTGGTTACGTGCCTGACGTAAGGCATTTTCTTGTTAATTTATTTCCCTTGCGATGCACCTGGTTCTCATTGTAACAATCTAGGATATGTATTGTTTAATGATCAATTCTATGAGGCGACATATGTAGGTACCTAGGACGGGTCCTCTGTAGGGGAAGTACACAGGGGCATCGGAGTGAAAGGGGGGGGGGGGAGTTTATTTAATTTTACTAACCTATCTTTTTAATAATGCTACCAGCTACCCTTTGAATGAGCAAAGGTGGATCCTTATAATTAACTCATCATAATTTGGCATTTCAGGAAAAATGGGTAGTGGGGGCTTGAGTTTCATTTCATTGCGTAACCCTCATACACCATTTAGAATATGAATATGAAAAACTTCTTGTGTGGCTGGTCACTGTTACGAGGAGTGACCCCTAATCTAGTCAAAATTCTGTCAAATAGCGTGAAAAATAGAAACAGCTTTCAAAATAGTGGGTCATTCCTCTTACGGTTGACCTCTGCACTTTATTCGTACCTAGACCTACCCCTGACCTGGCACACATCACCAAGTTTACCCATGCACGATGTTGACTATACCCAGTTGCTACACATGACAATCAAGGCACATACCAATCGTACCCATGGGTATGAGATTACCCACCCTTTCAATGACACATCCAGACTCAGATAGAGGGTAAATTGGGATACGTTAATGTGTTTACAGTGGGTGATCTCAACTCTGAGTATATTAGCAATAGCAACAGAAAATGAACAAAATCACTAGAATTGGGTAATTAAACCATGTCTCCCTGGGAAACTAAACCATGGCTCGTATTGAGATTGCGCACTGTAACCGCATTAACGTATCCCAATTTATCCTCTGAGTCTGGAGGTGTCATTGAAAGAGTGGGTAATCTCATACCCATGGGTACGATTGGCCATGTGTAGCAACCGGGTATGTCTACACGTCATGTATGGGTGAACGTGATGATGTGTGCCAGGTCAAGGGTAGTTTCAGGTACAATAGTACATTTACCATGGATAATCTCATTGATACATCCGGATCCTGGCACCGATGATTGCTCATAGGTGACAAGGTCCATATCCAGCTGCTACCCGTGGGTAATCATACCTGTAAGTATGAGATTACTCATTCATCAAAAGGTGCACCTGCGCAGACATCTTTTTAGGTAACTAAACCATGCCCAATTGGGTAATTATTATAAATTCTAGGTGGATATAGGTAAACGTATCCTATACGACTGTTTGGCCATTTTGTTTTTTTTCATTGTTTTCATTTTGAAGCTCAGTCGTTTTGCTAAGGAATACCTTGGCCCGTATGCACCACTGGGGTTACTCTTGGTAAACGTGTTGGTGCCCATGTTAACGATGGGTAACTTTGCGCGGTGTTAACACGGTTGCCCTGGGTACTCTCAATGATGCATGCGGCAGCTTATAAGCACTTGTTGAAGAAGTTAAATAAATAAATAAATAAATAAAT